CTTTGGACCCCGCGGTTCTATAGGTGCCATCTGGGAGCTGCATGGGTTTGGCTTGCATGGAGACGCGCTGTTCCCGAGGCCTGCAGCCCTGCAGCCCTGCTTCTTCCTTGGTGGGCGTCTCAGCTTTGTCGTGGTCATGTCCCAGGCCTTGACGGTTGGGGTTTAAGTGGTTTCTGAGCTTTCGTTGTGTGTGGAGGTCTTCGTCTCTGGTCCTGAGCTGTCAGCTGCCCCACACGGCTCACAGCTACCCCGTGGTGGTCAGTGCCGTTTCAGCAACTGTAAGCCTTGCCTGCAGGCTCCGTCCTTGTAAAGCTGCTTGTTTGGAAGCTTTTTTGGTCTCATAGGGAAGTAAAACAGCTCCAAAGCAAAAAAAACTAAACCAAAGCACCCCAGATTAGGCTTGCTGGGAGGTGCTGTAGGCACCTTTGTGTTGGTTATTGGCCAAAGAGCTCCCCTCTGCAGGTGCGAGGTCTGGAATGGTCCAGAGCAGCTGTTGGGAAAGGTTCTGTGTTCGGACCGCACCATGTTAATGGTCTTTAACTACTGTGCTGTAGAATTGGGATGGTTTATGTTTATTGTATGGGTTTTTCCAACTTTCTGGGGTTAAAGGTTATCAGGCTTTATGAATTCATTAGCCATTTGGCCCAAATTTCTGGGTTGCTCAGCTTTCTTTTTTTTGTTTTCTGAAGTCTCTCATGTTTTAGCTTTTTTTATAAGAAGGCACAGTTGGATGGTTGGCTTACTTGCTATGGCTGTGTTATTAGGAAGTTATTTTGATCGCCAGTGCTTCGCTAATCTTTTTGAAAGTACCACCAAATTCTTGTCTGCGTGGGATATGTCACACATCCTAACTTTTTTTTCTTTCTTTCATAGGAACGAGAACTCAAGGCTGCTGCAGACAGCGTCTTATCTGAAGTACGGAAGAAACAAGCAGACACAAAGAGAATGGTGGACATCCTGCGTGCGTTAGAAAAGCTTCGGAAACTGAGGAAAGAGGCTGCTGGCAGGAAAGGTTAACGATGAGATTTTTACCAAACTTTTTTAATTGCGCATGGGGGAAATAAGATGATGTGCACACCCTGCACTGGCTAGCAAGGTGCAGCTTGAAAAGACTGTTTCTTTATTAGTGATTTTAGTTACATTGTTATGCAAGAATAGCTATAAAATGCTGAATACACTGGTTGCGTTCCTACGTTTCCAAGCTCTTTCTTGATAGAGGAATTATGCCAGTAAGACAGTTGTTAGCAAGGTTATTGAGTCTGATAACAGAGCCCCTTCTGAATTTGAAAATTTAAAATTAATTCTCTTTCTGTTTAGGTGTTTGTCCACCCCCCTCAGCAGACGAAGCATTTGAAAATCAGGTGGAGAGTCTCAAAACATTGCTCAAAAATCGCACAGAGCTGTATGAAGCTGAGGAGAGAGCATTAAGAGTTATGTTGGAGGGAGAACAGGAGGAGGAGAGGAAGAGAGAAATGGAAAAGAAACAGAAGAAGGAAAGGGAAAAACTATTACAGCAGAAACTCGAAATTGATTCCAAGCTGTTTGGGGATCCAGGTAAATTCTGCGTGCCATACTTAACAGTATTTTTTCATGCCATACTCCCACCTCATAAACACTGAGTTTAAAATGCGGGCACAAAAATAGTCGAGAAAGAAATCGTCCACTGGAGTAATTTATGCTCTGAGAAAAAGATGGGATAAACATAGTGTGCTGTTAACACATGTGATGTAAGAAGAAGTGTTTAGCTCTTCACCATAGACTGCCGTATATCTCAAGCCGATTACAGAATGTTTTGCAAGAAGAGGTTGTAGATTAAGCTGAAATGAGAATAAACAGAATAGATTGAAGAATTCCAGCACCCAACAGATGCTTTAGTCTGGTGATTTGGTAAGTGTGACTTGGGTAATCTGTAGAGATTCAGTGTCTGTATGTTCCCCTTGTTTAGAGGATGGAGGCAGGAAAAGTTCTGCTGGTCTTGACTTGCCTCTGATGAGGAGATGTGCAAAACATGTAAATAGCCCGTAATATATTACATAGGGAAGTGATTTCAGGTTATAGCTGGAGAGCAGCAAATGAGTTGGCAAATGTGGGGCTGCTAAGACTTACTAGAATCAAAGGTCTTTCTGGTTTATTGAAGGATTTCTATCTTTGTGTTTTAACAGATGAATTTCCTCTAGCCCATCTATTGCAGCCCTTCAGAGAATATTACTTACAAGCTGAGCATTCTGTAGCAGCTCTGATCCAGATCAGGTAAAACCAAACAAAATCTTTATTGTATTATCAAAGATGACAACTATTGTTTGTTGAGATTGTAAAATTATGGTCCCTTTTGGTTCGTTAACTTCCAGATAGGAATTGTCCTGGTTATTTTTCAGTAAGGGTCAAGCTTCTCGCTTGATAGAGTTGTATCCCACAGATGCCCATGTGAGGCAGAGCACACTTCCATGCGTAACCACTCCATTTAATAGAGTAGTATGTGTAATTTTCACATTTGTGCTTTGAAAACCAGGCTCCAGAGTACAGTTTACAGTGTTTTGTGTATTGACCAATATGGAAAGATATTTATGTGGGTATATAATAAATCTTACTACCAAGTTCACACCAGCTCTCCTCTCAAACTGTGCTTTCTCCGTTCAAGGCATGAATGGGATCAGTACTTGGTGCCAGCTGATCACCCTGAAGGAAGCTGCATCCCTCCAGGATGGGTTCTTCCGAGTCTCCCCACAAACGACACTTGGGCCAGTGCTGTCAGATAGTTTAGTAATAAATTATTTTAATGTTGGAGGAATGTTTCATCCTAATTGCGTGTGAGGAAGTCTTATCCTCTGTTTTGGTAGCCAGGTACCGGAATGTCTTGAAGAAAAATGTAAGAGCTGTTTTTGCCGTCTGGCTCTGCGGGGAAATACCTGAGCAAGCCGAAAGCTGCTAGGCCTCTCGCGGTACGGAATTACAGTCCTGCTGAGAGTTTTTGTTAACAAATCTCAACCTTAATAAAGAAACATTGCTGACAGGGTATTCGTGCCAGTATTAACATCCTATTTTTAGTGGCTTTTATCTTTATATTTCATCATCTTTCCAGATGATGAAATCTCCAGAAATAAGGGGTTTTTTTAAAAAAAGAGATCATTAGTAAACATGTTTTTCTTTTTAAATGAAGCATGTCAAGCATCACTGTCAAAACAGTTCCTGTATTTTTGTGCGTAGAAACAAACCTATTGCAAGTTTAAACAAATTCTGAAGTACAAACAAGACAGGGTTTTCCAAGGTTGATTAAAGCAGCTGTTGACATTTTACTTTCGTGGACTAAAACTGGTACCACAACATGGAAAAAATTCCCAGTTGTGGTGAAATAGGTCAGACAGCCATGTGAATATATATAAATTTGGTAAATAAGCCTGCTGGAAAAAAAAAATCTGAAGTCTAACCTACTGTAATTGCTTTTGCCTATGTAGCTATTTTTGTATAGGGACAGATAATGTCTATAATATTTGATTAAAAACCACAGCTCTATTTTCTAAGTTGTTTTTTGTAAGAATAAATAGAAAAAAACAATTCTTTTTTTATTTGTTTGAAGTATTTTTACTCCGAGGGAGAGATTTGTTCCAGTACTTGGCATCAAATACGACTCCAACACGGAGAGGATTACTGGCAGAAGGTTTGTGTGAAGGAACTTCTCCCTCTTACGAGGTGACGGAGGCGTCTTGATTTCAGAGCCTTCCGTGTTCTGGAGAGTTTGCTTGGATCGGTCACGGGCCATCTGGGTTTGGGGCTTTGCTGGTCTACGCAGATTGTCGTGGCATCTTTCCAGAGCCACGCTTGTTCTTGCTTAGCCCTAATGTGTGGGATTGGACTTAATCTCTCCAGTCCCTTACCTCTTTGTATCACAGCCTGTAATTAAGGGAGGAGGCAACATGTAATTGCTTAAATTCAGTGCTTGGGCCTTGTATGTGATGTTGTTAGTTTCTTGGCTGAAGCTTTGCATTGATTTCTGTTAGAGCGCACAAACTAGTGATTTTTGATAGAATTAATCTGGGTGCAGAAGTTTGCAGTTCTTGTTTACGTGCGTATCGCCTACCTATAGCCCCCAAATTACAGATTACCATGAAGTCCCCTGGAGTTAGGGGTTCTGATTTACATCTCCGTACATCCTCCCATCCCCTCTCCATACATCCTCTTGCTTCAAGCACCTCGTTACTCCAAGACCTATGGCTGGGTCAGGTCCCGGGGAGCCTTACCTGATGTAAACCCAGAAGTTCAAATAGAATGAAAAAACAATTGCAGAAACAACGCAGTTCAGTTCAGGAAGCTCAGTGACTGCAGGATGCTCTGCTTAAATAATCAGGCTCCTTATGCCATCAGCACGTCTGATGGGACAGGCTAACCGCTTAAGCTACGATAATCTTAAAACCTTCAAAGTTAGATGCTTGTCTGACACTGCAAGAACTTAAAGAACGAATAAGCAGGCAGCGTAGAAACAACCCTGTTCTCCCTGCCCTGAGAGAAGAGCTCCATGATTTCGTCTGATGGTAAGGATAATTTCATATTGTTAATAAAAATAGGACTTGAAAATGCCAGCAGGTGATGTATGTTTAGGTATACATCAATCCCTCAAGCTTCCTGGGGTTTGTTCTATGTATTTGCTCTTGTCTGCGTTAAAATGTTTTTAGTGGGGAAGATGTTGAAGCCACAAGTGGAAGAGGAATGTTTCAAATCGTAACTGATAAAATACATGGAGACAGGGTATTAATTCTTAATAAAACCTGGTATATTCAGCTCTAAGATTCAAATTTGTCTGAATATAGTATTTTCTCCTATTTTTAAATTTTAAAAAAATATTCTAGCCCAGAAGAAAAGAGGGCTTGGCTATGAGTTTCCAAGACTCGTTCGCATCCTGTTCCCTCCCTGGTGGCAGTTCAGGTTTCTCACGCTTTTAAGGCACGTCCCCTTCCTGATAGGAACTAGCTGGTTTCCCAGCCGGTATCTTTGCTGTGAAAGCGGGCAGGGCTGGTGTGGAGCAGGTGAGCTCAGAACCCTTGTAGGAGTTGCTTTCTGGTGTAAGTCTGCATTTACGACTGACCCTCTTACTCTTGTCTAGTAGGGTTTTTGTTGTCGTCGCTCCTCACCCCAGTGTGTGGCAAGCTTCGGCGTTAGAGGGATGCCAAAGGAGGCATTTTAAGGCCAGATTAGCTTTTAAGAACCAGCGAGTCGTTTTAAGTGCGGTGATGTTTTTTTAGATCAGGAATAACAGGGGAGAGAAAACTTTCCGAGGAACCGGGAACGGTGGCATGGAAAAAATTACTGCAATTACTTGTGGGAGCCTTTCTTAGAGCACAGTATTTATGCAGTGAGATACAGTACCATATTTTCTTCATCGTGGCTTCAGACACATTCACTACCCATCTCCAGCCCTTACAGTGGCATTTAAAACCGAGTAAAGCCATTCTAGGTGATGGAGGACGAGGTAATCTTTTCTTCCTTCGCACCTTGGTACCTCACAGCTTTTGGGAAGAGCCGATTTCCAGCAGAAGCTGCGAGGAGGGTCCGTCCCTCTTGCAGGCAGGTGCTGCGCGGCCGCGCCGAGGAGTTGCAGCCTCTGCTTACAGATGTTTTCACGCGTTGTCTTTATCAGCGCTGACGTGGATTGTATCTTAGGCTGAGCCCTCTTAGGCTGGGGAGCAGATGGCCCGGCTCCGTGCGAGGCTCCCGACACGTTGCGTGTGTCGCGTGTTACGTGTGCGGGAGCCGCAAAGCTGGTTACGGGCTCTGCCTGCGCTGCAGCCCCGGGTATTAAAGGCTCCTGGCGTAAGCAGGCGAGCAACGACTCTTTTGTAATTCTGATGAGAGCGACCGTGCGTGTCACTGTTTGTGGTCTGGGAGCGGTTTGTCAGTCCCTTTCTAACATAACAAACTCCCTTGAATGCCATTTCCCTTTTAGACCCTTATTTTTGCATTAAACGGGCAGCTTTTTCTTCCTCGTATACGTTCCTCTGCTTATTTTCTTTTTGTGGAGTGTTTATCCTCATTCTCAGAGAAGCCATTTCTTTTTAAAGGAAAAAATAAATTGGTAGAAGCACTTAGGGACGTCACACCCGTTATTTACTCCTCGTGTCCTGAGAACGGCTGCTGAGGGCTGCTGCTTTGGGACGGGCATGGGCTGCGGGTCCCGGGGCTCGGTGGAAGACTGCCCTCAGCTCTCGCCACTTGAAAATATGTAAAGGAAATTATTTTGCACGCTGTTGTCCCTGGGAAGCTGAGGACTTGAGGCTTCATGCAGCAAGTAGTGGCTTTTTACTAAATTGAGACATTTATAGAGAGCTGATGGCTACGCTATTGCAGTCATTTTTTCCATGCCACCGTTCCCGGTTCCTCAGAAAGTTTTCTCTCCCCTGCTATTCCTGATCTAAAAAAACATCACCGCACTTAAAACGACTCGCTGGTTCTCTTAAAAGCTAATCTGGCCTTAAAATGCCTCCTTCGGCATCCCTCTAATGCCAAAGCTTGCCTGATGCGCCGGCATCCTTGTCTGGCATCTGGGGGATGCCCTTGCCCCAGCTCCCGGGGCTGCTCCGTGTGACGGCTTAGCGGCACGTGGCCGCACGCACGTGTGTGACCGCGGGTGCTCTCGGGTCCTGCAGAGAGAGGAGACCTGCGAGGTGTCCTCCTCGGCCGCGGTTTCTGCCTCTGTAACTGGGAAAAGCGTTTGGTCTGCCCCCGGTTTGGGAAAGGGAACGTGCGATGGGCAGCAGAGGGAGAGGCGGGAGGAGGGATGGAAGCAGCGGGGCGTGCGTGGAGGTGGAAGCGGAGGAGAAAAGCGCTCAGGATCTCTGCCAAATGAAGCTGTAAGCTCGGTCAGGTCCTGCTGGCTCAAGCTCAGAATAGCAAAGGTTAGTTCAGACAAATCTTCCCGGTATCGGTAATTAAGATGTTGCAAATCTGGGCATTGCACACAGCGGTTTATACTCGGCTGACAGCATCTCTAAGGGCTGCGTTCCTTTCACCGGCATCACTTGAAATAGCTCATCTTTCTCTCCTTCCACCCAACTTTCAAGGTGCTACTCCTGCATTTGACAGTTTTGTTGCATCCTTTCCTCCAGCAGCAAGAAGTCAGGTGGCGGCGATGAGCTACCTGGATGAAGTACCCTTCCGGACGGCCAGGAGCCTCGACGGGGACTCAGGAGGAGAAAACACTTTAATCACCGCCCCGGCCATCGACCTCCCCGACTGCACCGACATCCTCATGAGCACCATGGTGAGTGGCCTCTGCTTGTGCCCGCACCCGCGTTTGCTGCTGGGGGGATGCTCAAAGGGATGTCAGCGGTGTTTGCCTTTCCTTGTGAGAGAGGGGAAACCTCTCCTCCTAATTGATTTCCTCTTAATCGGCTGGTTTGCAGGAGTGGGAGGAGGTGAGGATGATTGGTGGTGGGTGGGAGTGAGGAAGGGGGGGTAGGTTTGGGGTGTCTTTTTTAATCTGGTCCAAGCGGGAGGGTTGGGTCCTTCTGGGACAGGAGGACAAACTTTAGGCTCTACTCTGGGATTGCTTTCTAGTCTGGAATCATCATTGTCTCATTTATTAATAACATTTATTAAAGATTTATAATATTTATTAATAAATCTAACAGAGAT